GAAGGAAGGAAGGAAGGAAGGAAGGAAGGAAGGAAGGAAGGAAGGAAGGAAGGAAGGAAGGAAGGAAGGACGGACCATTTTTCATGGCTCAATCAGTGAACTTAAAACAAGTTGAACCTTTCATTTTTGATCAGTGAAACAATCAACTTACAGGTTTTTAAAAAAATTATTATTGTAGCAACAAGGCTCATTTCCTCTTGGTCTTGGTTTTTTTCCACCAAATTGTTGAGATGCAATTACAACACAAGCAGACAGGTGAAAACAGAGTGGAAACTAGGGGAAGAGGTAGGCACAAAAAATCTAAAGCAAACCTGAAAAAGGTCACCACTTCACTGGTCCACTGGTGAAACCAAGAAGCAAACAGGTTCATCAACTTAGATCCATTCAGAAGAGGTAAGTCATTCTGTCTTTTCCTTTTCTTCCTAGTATTTTCCCACAAGTGTAGGGTCTGCTTTTTTCAGATCAATCAAGAGTTGATTCCAGAACAAAATGCCAACTGGCATTGTCCATGATAGCTAACTGGAGTGGAGATCTTTCTCTATACCAAAATGAAGCATGGCATTAGGAAAAACATCATTTTTGGTTCTTGACAGGAAAGATGGGTACAGCCGGTCTTCCTGGTGGGCTGGGGGTGGATAGAAGTTGCCATCAGAGAAATGGTTAGTAGGACAACTTGGTTATACAGATTAACCCTAATTGCTGGGTATGCTGAGAAAGAGGGTGGAACTGGATCCTGCCAAGCAAGTTTGGGCCAGACATATTTGTTGCTAATAAGTTTTAAGGTGATAATTTGCAACCTTTTCAAATCACCTTCTTCAGAATGATAAGGTAATGCTCAGGAATGTTCTGGAAGAGCAGTACTAATTTGAGGACGTGAGCAAGACTGTTCCTTGACTGAGAAAATGTCATTGAAGCTGGGAATGAAGAAGAAAGGAATAACTGAGAGAGAAAAAGACAGAGACAGAATATATCTTTGTAGAAATATATTATATTGCAGCTCTCTACTATGCTTAAATTTTATAAATAGCCCCATTCCAAAAGAATTTATCTAAGCACCAAAATCTCCCTGCTCATTGAGGTGTGCATAATTTAAATATATTATTCCTACTTTATTCAGTTAGTATTTAAAGAAAGGTGTTCAAACCCCAATTTGCAAACTTAACTCTAATCCATTGGTTGTTCTTCCCTCACAAGTAATTTATCTTTTTATAACCAACAAATTTACACATTCATCTAGATTCCTGTGACTAGCAGGCAGACCATGATTTTGGAAAAGACAATAAAGTACACCTTGTCCATTGTTTTTCAATTATCATTATCATTTCAGGAAAACAGCTTCCTTTTCTCGTGTCAATTTTACATAACCAAACAAAACCATCCACCCACCCACCACCACAGCAAATTACCTAAACTAGTGTTTTTCAATCTCAGAAACTTTAAGATACATGGACTTCAACTTCCAGAATTCCCCAGCCAGCATCAAAGCCCACACATCTTAAAATTGCTGAGATTGAGAAACACTTATGTAAACACTCAAATCTTCTTGAGATTCAAACATACAATAAATCACTGGCAGCCTGAGATGACCAGCTGGTTCCAAATCCCTTAGGAATGGATAACTTAACAATATTCACAACCAAGTTGTTTTCAGTCTTTGTGAACCATGGCTTCAAATGTTCACAGGCAGATGCTAAAGACAAATATGTGCATATGGTATTACTAGCTAACATGACACTACACAAATATGCACTCAAAATTTTGCCAGATTTCCCCCAATAGTATTTGGTGATGTTTAACAATACCAACTGAGCTTTCATTCCCCTTCATATCATCCTTCCTGGCTTTAATTTGATCAGGCATATTTGTGC